ATGTTGTCCAACAAGTTGGAGTAATGCCCGGGAGGTGTTGGAACATATTGCGGCACAATGTTATTCTGACGAGGCGGATCCATCGTGCGCGGCTGAACCGGCGCTCCTGTTCCTGGTGCCTCCGTCTGGTTTAATATTGGCTGGTTACTAGTTCCTGCTCCTGGCGTGTTGAAGAGATTTCGTGGCTCATAACCCGACGGGAGATGCGATCGGTACCTTCTTCTCATGACTTCTTCGGAAGCGTTCTGATCGAGACTAATCCGGTAGGCCTGAGCTTCCAACTCACCCCGTTCTGTAGCCATCCTAGCATTCTCTGCCGCTAGATCTGCTTTAGCCTGAGCTATCTGATCCTTTACCTTTGCAATCTCCGTGTTGTGCTGATCCCGGGCTGCTGCATCCACCTCTGCGGCCATCAACATTGCCAAAGCGTCGAACAAGTCAGACAGGACTTGAGCCGGAGGCGGTGCAGAGCTTCCAACTCCTGCCGGCGTGACCGTTGTTGAACCGGAGAGTATTGTTGTGGCAGCTGATGAATGAGGCGCCGACTGTGTACCGGCCATAAAGATAGCGGCCCGGTTTGGCAGATCAGGGAAGTCCGGAATATTGTTGCCCTCGGATCCTCCACTAATCCGGCCATCCTGCAACTGATAGAGCGATTCGGTCTCTCTAGAAGACTCGTCGTTGGAACAGACAACGGTTTCTCCATCGGACGCTGGTCCGTCTTTGTATTCTGCTCCATGGATGACGCCTACGAAAACATGCTTCGCCACGGGCTGAACCGGCGAAGGGCTTGCACGCTGAGCTGTCTCGATGATGTCGGTGCAGATGTCCGGCTCAGGGGCCGGTTCGCCAATCCTGCCGATGAAGACGTGAATCCCACCAAAGGGGACCCGGTACCCGTATTCGATTGAATCGGCCTCGGGACCCCATCCTGCATTGTCAATGTAGAGCTTGCCGCGACGACTCTTCGTCATCCGGCCCACAGCGTATCCCTTGAGTCCATCAAAGCTGCCCTTCAAGAACTCGAAACCATCGTGCGATAGCCCCACGGTGGGCGCCAACTGTCGTGGGTTTGTCACGGCAGATGTCCTTGTGAAAGGACTTAGTTGTGGAGCCATCGCAACGGGTTAGCTTAAAGGGGTTAAACCAGACAAGGGGACACGTGAGGTTTATACTAGTTCGGCCCCTTCAATGAAGGTAAAAGCCTACGTCTAGTTGTGGTTGGTATTGCTAGGGTTTCGAAGGCCAGGGAGCGAATCCGCTTTGTCTGGCTCTCGAGTTGTTGTCTGTCATCCCTGAACCGCTGTCGGGTCGTCCCTTTATATACATAGGTTTACGCCCGCCGGTTTACAGAGTCCCGAAGCCGGATCATAAACGTGTCCGGTTCGGTCTCTATCCTTCCTATCTTACAATGCAAGCTACATAACAAGGTCGGTTTACATCTACAGGCCTTAACTCGCCTCTGGGCCTTGGGCCTTCATAAAGTGCCATTCTTATGTCTTCATGGACTTCTAATCCTCATGAGGTTAATCCGGTTACCCCTGTCCGGTTTACGTCCAGTAGTAATGTCCCCAACATCTAGGGTAAGTTAGCTATCACCATCTATGTACATATCCATTCGCTTCCAAAGAGCGACGGGCAAAACCTTAGCCGTCACCCCCGTCTCCTCTCCCCATCCACCTCCTGCCGTCGGAGGAAGACGTCGAGAAAAGCCCGTCTGGCGGATGGTGATGGCTTAATCATCTCCATGTGCTACTTCAGAATTCCTCACAGCTAGAGCATTGTTGTTGCTCTAGACGGCGCCTGTGTCAGCAGAAATCAAATGGCGGTATGGTGGCCCCATGACAGCTAGGTGATGGCCACGTTGTAACAGCTAAAAGGGCAGTGCGAGCGCGGCGTCCGGTCGTGACATCAAAGATAATGGCATTGATTTGTGGTGGAGGCATTCCAATCCTTGATTCCCAACGACGGTGAAATTTTTTTGTTCATGTTTACCGGCGGTGGCGATGACACCACATCTTTCTGGTCCCTGTGTGGAGGCATCTGCGGACTGGCGCAGTTGCACACGCATTGGTTATTTGGCTCCTTGCAGCGCGGCCTCATGTAGCTGGCCGTTTTTACGAGGCACAAGTTCTTCGGGTTTTACCCTTAGTATGGAAGGTTCCTAGAAGCGCACTCTAGTGATTGGATTTCTCCGCTCGACGCTGAGGTTTGGAGTGCTTGACATGGGCCAAGATATCCTTTTGGACAACATATCTGGCAAGTCAACTTCCGCTTGATGTGTGGGTTCTGCTCTTGTCGTAGGTGCCCCATGTGACTGGCCTAAATTGGCTTGCGTTGGTGATCAGGGCTCTCGGCGGCATGGGATCGATGGAGATGGCGGGCGTCCCTACGAACTACTTGAGAACATGCGTTGCACGAATATGGTTTTATTTGTGTGGCTATGTCCATGTCATGACCGTGCTTTGCGTGGGTTGTGCAACGATAGATCGACATGGTGGCAACCCAAGGCGACGTTGGCTAGGCGGTGCTCTTTGAGTGCATGGGATTGAGTTCTAGGCCTCAAAACTCTTGGTCCGACCTTTCATTTGTTGAATCTGGCAATTGCGACGATCATGCAAAGTTCCCTTGTGAAAGGCATTACATGAAGTTTACTCGGACTACCCCTAGGGTGAAAACCCATGATTTGACCTCAGTTGTTGGGTCCAACAACGACGACACTCGTGCGTCGTTCCCTGGCGACGATCACGCAATGTTACCTTATTGAAGATATTACATGGAGTTTATTCAAACTATTCTTCGGAGTAAAAGCCCATGATTTGACCTCAGTGGTTGGGTACAGTAACGACAACGGTCTTGAGTCATTCCCTTCCAGAAGGCATTGTTGTTGTAGCACCTATCGTGTTACCAGGTGATGCCATTATTGATGGTTGATGTTGTTTGATGAAGTTGTTTTGTTGATAACTTATCTTCTTCTTTTGTAACCGCCTATCCCGAAATGGATTGTGATAGAATAGAAAGAAACGTGAAGCAGCAAGCAAGGGATGAGCGCTTTGTAAAGCGCATACATTTTCTTGTTGGGTCGGTTTGTTTTGGCGGACAGCAATTCTTCAATCTTAATGGAGTAATTTCGGAGGGGGAATTCGTAGAGGGGAATTTGGACGTGTGCATCCTCGATATCTTGAGTAGCTTTTGAGGTTGTGCTGGTGGAGGTGGAAGGTATACTGATATAGTTTTTTTTTTGAAAAGTCGGTATACTTATATTTTTTCGATATCAATATATTTTCCTTATAAAAATATGTCTAGAACATATTGGGGTCGTGGTGGTGGAGATGGAAGGTATTATGAAACTTACCACCGACGCCGCCTACCTATATATGGCTGGTGGGTGGTATTAAAAAATTGAGACCACAACTTATATTCACGTGTATAAATAACAAACAAACTATTGTCAACTCCTTGGCCGGAGCCTGGAGCGGAACATGTCCAGAGCAGGCATCATTTTCGGCCGGGAGCCGGGATGGCTGGAGTAATCCGCGGCAGGAAGGCAGGGTGGCACCGACAAGGGATCACGTAGGAATGAGCTTTGCATTTGTTGATGGCGGTAGTGTACACCACCATCCTGTCGTGCCGAGATGGATCACGGTGTCCAGCGAGGGAGGCGTGATATATGTACTCTATATCCAACCGCGCAGATCACGTGGCTCCAAGTTCGGAAGAAAACAAGGGGACGTCTCCCCCCTTTCTTCCTTCTGGCATCTTGTGCCTCCTTGTTAAGATCTCTCTCTCCAGTCTTTCCTCGCTGTCTTTTTGTATTAGTAGGACTACATATATAGGAGTATATGATAACCAATGCACCTGCAACACTCTTAGGGAAAACTCAACAAAGTAGCACCGTTGCGAGATGGAGTATATTTCTTTTTTCTCTTCAAATTGAGAAGGGGTTTGGTGGATTCTAATTTTTTTAGGGGGTCTGGTGGATTCTAGATGAATGAGGTGAGTGAATTCAGTCAACCCATAATATAAGATACTCCCTCCGTTCACAAATATGATATGTTTTGGATATTTCAATATGAACTACATACGGACTGAAATTAGAGAACAAACACATTAAACGGACACACATCCGATTCACAAAAAGTTGGAAGATCTTATATTTGTGAACGGAGGGTATTTGTTTTTTGGTCTAATTTTATAAGATAGACAATCCTGATGAAAAGTGAAGATTGTGTACGGTGTCAGCCTACAATAGTGCCAGGGCGTGATATAATGTCTCCTTCGGACAAACCTTGCGTGAGGCCCCAGTATATATAAGCAAAAAAAAAGACCAACTCTAAATTAAAGAACAAATCAGCTAGGGACCACAGCAACAAGTTCTGTGAACAAGTTTAATGATCATGGCAATTTATCGGAAATACTTTTATAATAATTACATGGCCACACTAATTCATGATGCATCATCCAGATCTATCTTGCTTCTTTTTTATAATAATGGGCTTCACACAGGACTCTGCAACAAAATGATGACAAAATACCAATGGTGCACACCGACAACGATCTATCTCCCTAAAAGTAGGTTATAACTTGCTGGATGCAATACAAAGTAACACAAAACACCAGACTGTTCCTATGAAAGCACAGGAGACTGGAGCACTACTAATCTGCACTTATCTCTGCAGGTCCACAGATAGTTGGTACTGAATTGTTCTGAAACTAGGATTCAAAAGCACATTAAACATATATAAACCACATATGGATGTCATACTTGCCTGCAGGAGGAACTCGGCTATCAAATAAAAGATGATACACGAAGGCGACATGCCAGCAGTAATTAGAACACCACTTGTGAACTGACCCACAAGTCAAAATGGAGCGAGTTGTGTCTTGGGAGTAAGGATAAAGAACCCATTTGACAGGCATGCCTTAACGGCCATCTCTTGCCTTATATTTCTATCATATTTGTAGCTCCACTGGTGTATTGCCTTGTAAACCATATGCAATCAAGCAGCAGCAACCTTCCTTCCATCTTCTATGAAATATACGGCGGATTCAGGAACCTGAAAGACAGAAAAGCAAGGAGTAACCAACGTGAACAAAACGAGTCTTGCTAACTTTAATCAGATTATGGTGATAGGTCAATAACTGGTGAACTAAATTAGTTGTTCTATCAGTGTTCAGCCGCAAAAACATAACATCAGATTGTGCTACCTATTAGTCTAAAGTAGAATGAATCCTGGTTTGAGATCCAGAATAGCCACAGTATTACGAAACAAATTTCATTAAAATGGAACCTATATCAGCAATTGATGAAGGATTGATGAGGTTGTTTGTAAAGTACAGAAGGTAAACCATAGGAGATTGATTCCACAATTTTACTACATAACCTTCTAAGCAAATATCAAATGCTCAAAACACCATTGAGCTAACCCAATGATCTATTATCCATGTAAGCACCAACTGAATGCCAGATCTCCACAAAGCTACGGTTGCTCTCCATTCCTATTATATATACACGAAGCAGGAAGTAATAACTAAGTATTCCTTGACTTTCATAGTTTCACTTTCTTGGTCAGGAAGGAGATTACTGATTTGTATTTCCTTAAATCATTACCGCAAAGATAACATCAGTCTTCCACGTGATGTGAAACCGAATGAATTGTCAAGTTGATCAGAATGCTAACAACGATGAAAGCATACATGACATGTAGACCATAATAAGATGCAGAGATGGACAAATTACATCAGGCCATGTAGCTGTAATGAAGTCCACAACATCATATGATATGTCTCCTTGGACATCGATTTGCTCCTTCTCAGTTGGGCCCTGGGGAACACAAAGAGAGAATTAGACAAGGCCTAAATGAAACACTAAAAGCCTTCATACTACTCCGTCCCATAATGTAAGACGTTTTATGACACTACATTATGGGACGGAGGGAGTAGTTCCACAGATAACTGATTACCTTGACAACCGAAGCTCCAGTAGCAAACTTCTTTCCAAGCTTCTTTGAAGCATCACTCAGCTTTACACCTAAATGTTCAGGAAACAAACACGATCTATTAAATTATGTCCAACCTTAATAGCAAACATATAGTATCATCAAACTTTATGGCAGGTTCAGCTCAAGTCTGGATCTAGCATCTACAGAACAACCTCTTCCACAGAGTTCAAAATATATTCATCTCCAATCTTTTTTACTTCACTAGCTGCAAACAGTTAAGTGTACCACTCACCAAACAAATCCAGGCCTTTCACCACAGTGACACACTTGCGCTTGTTGCGGACAATCTTCTCAATAATAACCTCTTGCTTGTCCTACACATAAAAAGGGACATTGGCATTCAAACATTGCATGACAGACATTCTACATTGGCCCGAACTCAAACCATAATAACAAATCCTCAATCTCAGACTAGCATCTAGGGTTGAAGTCAAACATCTAGAAACTGAACTGTGTAAAGTGTGCAAAGGGAAGCAACCTTTTTCTTGAGCTTGCCACCGGGCAGTCGTTTCACCTCTTCAGTCTTAGAAGATGCCGAAGCACCCCCTGCAAACACAGCACATCAATTTGACCGAGCGTTCCCTAGTTTTAGGTTTAGACAAGCAAGGAGCTCATGCAAACCTGCGCTTGTGGAGCCGTCGGCGGTGGAGATGCTGACGCCCTGGAGGCGCTCGCCGACCTTGCCGACGTCCTTATCATCGCCGCCTTCACATATCAAACGAACCACCACACGCGGCATTAGAGAGCGAGACCGACACAGGGTAGGCGTAAACGAAGCGGGGGATAACAAGCGAGAAGGCTAGGTAGGTCATGGGGGCGAACCGGAGGAGGAGGCCACGAGCTCGTCGGGGTAGACGCCGGGCGCGTGGGCGCGGAGCCACGGCTTGCAGCGCTCGAAGTCGGGGCCGAACTCGCAGTACTCCGCGGGGAGGCCGCACACGCCGCAGTAGAGCACCTTCGCCGGGGCCAGCTTCTCCGCCGCCATCACCGCCGCCGGATTCGATCCGATCTGATGGGGAATGCTCGACGAGGTGGGCTGCGCGAATCTGTGTTGCCCTGCTCGAGCGCTCGTGGAGTCGTGACGGATTTGGTTCTGCTCGAAGGATTTGGGTGCGATTTTTTTCTCCCCCTTTCCTCCTTTCAGGAAAGCGCAAGAGAACAAACCAGCAAAGGAAAAGTTGGTGAGTGCGGCAGCCCGGGGGTGTTGGGCTAGTGGAAATCCAGCCCAGGAGTTTCCGGATTTTTTCCGGCTTGGGCTGGGCTAGGCTAGGCTAAGCAGTGTGTTAATTGAGCTATTTCTATTCACGCTTATAGTAGACTCAAAGTTGGGCTCATCCTCGACCCAGCCACGCTTCGCATAGGGGTTTCTCGCGCCGCCGCTGCCATCATCTGATACTAGTCGAATGCCCGTGCGTTGCCACGGACAAAGAAAGATTTCATAAAAAAAACTTGTGCACAAATAAATGATATACTTACTCTCTTGTCGTCCTAAGATGCTCTCTTTAATTTCGACCAGTATGAGGTTCTTCGTTCCCTTGTGTTCACCGTCCTTTCTCGCGTGTGTTTCCTATCTACCTCATTCATGATATTGTTTTTGCATACCTGATCTTTTTTTTTCTTTAGTTCTGATGACTTTTGTACGAATGGTCAACAAACCCTAACATAAATCTTTAGTCCCAGAATATAGTAAACATAATCTCCATCTAAGGGTCTGGCACTGTAGAGATCATTTGTCCAAAGCACCACCAACAACGAAACGAATGATATGCTTGGTTGAGACTTCTGGGGTAAAGACATATTGTTTTTAGCTAAATATGGTAATTAGGGATTTGTTATCGAGACAGAAAGTTTATTATGCCATTTGGATGTGTGGAAAATTAGTCTGCAGTTTTTTTAATCATCGTTGATTAGGTGTTTTCACAATTGTAAATGACGGCCATTTTTACCACCTAGGTTGTATCATAGCTTCCACCTAGATTGTTATCCTCAAGAAATTATTACGAACAAATCATAACAGAACATATCTGCTGACAAACAGTTATGCAAGCACAATCACAATGGGCTGATTATGGATATTAACAAACGCGTTGTGTTTAACATTTCAAATATTGATATTGAAAAGGATTATATGAAATTAACACACAACACCCACCAACAGGAGTCATTCTAAAAAAATAGGTCAACTGCATTTCATTTCTCTATAGGAAAGACAATTAATCATATACAGATGAAAATGCCTTGACTTTCCCATCCGCTCTGAAGCTATATGGATTTACCAGGTCAAGAAATTGCCATCGGCAAATACGAAAAAACACAGCTAATTGCAATGTTTTAGAGAGGTATATCACTATCATTTGGGAGCTACAGATCCAAGCAATCATATATATCAAAATTCAAGATATCCATGTGGACAAAAAAATCGTTTTTGGTGCTCGCCCTCTTCCATCTTCTCTGTTGAGCTTCACATGCAGCAGCATCGGCCATGTGTTTGCTTCTCTGTTGTCTTTACTCTCCTCTCCTGTGATGTACGGATGTATACGTCTGGAAATATATAATCCGATGTTGGTCATGGGAGGCTTGCTTCAGCTTCAGCCTAAGAAGTACAGAAACCAAGGCAAGCACTGGCACTATTCCTCCTCAAGATGTCATTCTCCATAGTATAAATATTAGTGTGTGTGACTGTATAGCTTATCTCTTGCCCAATACCTCTTTGCCTGTACCAATTGATGCTCCTTGCGCAGCCAGACCATTAATCCTCCAATGGATCTATTAAGTACGCAAACTTGAGAAAGATTAGAATAGATTCGCAGGGAGGGTGGCTACCACATATTTTTGTATTGTACACTACCAAAGTATTTATCCATGTGCAGAATCAACTCAGAAACAAGCAGAATTAAACACCACAACCCAATGTGCAGAATCAACTTGGTTAAATCAATGACCAAAGGAAAAGATGTGATTCCCGACACAACACCTGTAGTTCCAAACAAACAAGCAGAATTAAACACCACACGACCCAAAAGCTCAGCCAGCACATGTGAGGCTCCGTGCAGCGATGCTTACATCGATCTGCTTCTGCAGATAACGCGACAACTTCTTGGGCCGTCGTGGCGGATGCGTGTAGCCAATGGCGAGAAACTCATCAACGGTGGCGAGAAACTCCTCAACGTTGGGACTAAGAAGTCCCTCTTCCCTCAGCGGCAGTGCAGGCAAGCGTCTGCCCATCCGATCTCAACGCGGGAGGAGCCATAGTGGCGGTGTGGTCCTCTAGGGCCGCCGTAGCCGTGCGAGTTTGTGGGCTTCTCCTGCTTCGGCGACGGGGAGGAGGCGTCCACTAAGGCGGGGATGCGGTGGTCAGAGGCGGCGCCCATGAGGCCATGAGGGCCATGTAGGAGGTTCAAGAGGATAAGAGGGAATGGGGAAGAGATGGATGGGGGACGGGGCGGATGGGACAAGGGCAGGGCTTCCCTGCGTGACTGGATGGGGAGACGGGAGGGGGAGATCGTGGGTGTGTCCTAAAAGATGCTAGACTTACGGGTGGCATCTGCGGATTTTACTTACGGACTCGTTTCCCCGCAAATTATCTCCCCCCTGATTAGTCCTGGCCATGGGCAGCCCGGCCCGAACGGCCCGGCCCGACCCGGTCCGAAAAAACCCGACCCGGCCCGGCCTGACGCCGTTCCCGGGCCGGGCTCGGGCCTAGATTTTGAGCCCGAAGGCCGGGCCGGGCCGGGCCTAGGCCCAGCATTTTCGCGTTTTCCTGAAGGACGGGCCGGGCTGGCCCGAAGCCCGACGGTCTTTTATGTGTTCGGGCCGGGCTCGGGCCCAGAAAACAGGCCCGACGGCCGGGCTGGGCCGGGCTCGGGCCTGGGTTTTTTGCGTCGGGCTTGGCTAGGCCCGGCCCGAAGCCCGGCCCGGCCCGAGGTCTAGCCAGGTATACCCCTGATTTCTAGTGGTGGCCCCTTCTTCTTTTGATTTTCTAATCACATATTGACAGCTCATCCCGTAACCTCACTCCCGTGCAAAACGTCCGTAGATGTAGCGTTGTCCGTGTGTCCTAGGGGATCGAGGCAGTTGGGCGAAGACGGGGCGTGGGACGCGGCTGTTTTTTTTTCAATTTTTGACAGAGGAAGTGCGAGAGGGACGGACAGGGGATGGATCGAAGGAGGCGATGGATCTCGGCCGTGGGCCGAGTTAGGGACGGGGAGGGCTTGCGTACGTGAGAAGGTGGAACCATCACGACGACTGCAGATCCTTTTTTAATAGTAGAGATAAATTTAGGTCTCCTCGCATCTGGCTACAATCTTAGCGCTGAAAGATGGGGGACCTCATATGTTCAAGACTTTTATGTTCTTCGCCATCGTCTAGTATCCATTTTAGTTCTATGATAATAGATTTTCTTTTATTTTTGACGGTGTCATGAGATTAGAGAATTTTCTGTCCTCTCATATCTGATTATTCAGATCTGATGAGTTTATGTTGCTTTGTCAAGCCTTTTTTGTTAGTCTGATTCTTTGTGGAGGTGAATCTTTCATGGACAACATGATGAAGATATAGTGATTCAACGGCCTGCACTTCTAGGGGATCATTCCCGGTCCAAGTATGTTCATCGATCAAGGCTTCCCATTTCTTTGGATTGGCGACTCAAGGCACTTTCAAAAATCATTACTAGTAATGTTTGTGCGGGTGAAAGAGTGACAACATTGTTGCTCCAGTCCAATTCCAGCATCTTAACCGAAGACTTTGGAGTATTTCTTCAAATAGAGATTTGACGCCGTGAAGAAAGTGTTTCCAAGATATTTTCTTGTAATTCTTAGTCGTAAGAGTTACTTTGTATTTTCTTGGATCTTAGGTTCAAATCAATGTACATGTAATTGTTATGCGTATGAACAAAATTACAGGTGTTTCTCAAAAAAAAAGTAGACTGGAAAAAATCACGCTTAATGCGGATAGCTCCCTCTTTTTAGAGAAAACATATTCACTTACTATAAGGGCTATATCTCGCTTACTACAGCAAGATAGAAGTTGGAAGGACCTCTCCACTTTCAGAGGCGTTCTATTCGGAGTAGCCCAGAGCTCTGATTTTATAAACGTTCTTCTCTGTTTTGGGCGGTTTCAAGAAGCTTCCGGAGCAGGAGTTTCTTCCTGTTTCTCTACCTTTTTTCTTTTTCTGTTTTCAATTTTTCCTTTTTTTTCCTTATTCAAATTCACGAAGCTTTCAGTCCACATGCTTAGTGTGTGAACATTTTTCATCTACGGTGACTTTGTAAAATCTCAAGATGATGTATGCCGGCTCAGTATCTCGGAGATATTCATAGGGGTAGGGTGTGCATGTGTGCGTTCATAAAGATGAGTGTATGCGTGTTTATATGAGCACTTGCGTCTGTACTGTGTTAAAAATCTACATTTTAAAACAAATAAGCGAACCATTTTTTATATTTCCATGTAGATTTTTTATATGTACGAATATTTCTAATAGTTGTGAACATTTTTTAAAATTACATAAAGGTGAAGAGTTTTTATAGCACACGGATATTTTTTATATGTTATGAAAATTTTATAAAGTTGCGTTTTTTTACATTTCATGAACACTTAAAAAATGTCATGACACATATTTTTGTAATGCATTAATATTTCAAAATTCGTGAACCAATTTTTGAATAGTCCACGCATTCTTACAATTTACCCGAACAAAATTTAAATTTCAATGAACACTTAAAAAATGTCATGAAAAATATTTACAGTGTCATGAACATTATTAATTGTGTGGATATGTTTTTAAAAATAATGCGTGAACAATTGTTTACATTTCATGAACAATTTTTAATGGGTGATAAATATTTTAATTCTTCTATAAGTAAAGTAAATTATATTTTGAAAATATAATATTTCAAAAGAAAAAGAAAAAGAAAATCTATGGTACAGTTGCTAGAGAAAACCAATGCTATACTAGTAAGGTACACGTGCATTGCACGCATGAGATTT